GCAGGAATCCGGCTTCTCACATCTGCTCCAAGAGAAGACGGGATAACAGTCTGGCTGGGCTGCTCTGGGATTGTTCCAACTTCGAGAGAACACAGTGAGAGAAAGAAGTTTATTCAGTATCAAGTTTCCACAGGCAATGACAACATTATGCACCACCTGTTTTACAGAAAGATGCTGGTAATCTTTTCCATCTCCTCAACTGTGTAGCGAAAAGATCAACAACTCCTGTAAAAGGAGGAAAAAAACCCTCTGCCTGGTACTACTTTAGCACATTTTAGTCTGACTTTGCAGTGGTATTAATTCAGAGGAATAGAATATGAACATTCTGCATTTCTCCACCATCAGAGACTAATAAATATAAGCTTGGAAACACTAGGGATATAGAATAGCTCGTTACATCAGAGTCTGTGCCTTTATTAAAACCAGCAAATTGCATCAGTTGCACACTGGGGTTTTTCTTATCCCTTTCCACAAGAATTACTTGTTTGCATCTGCATCAGGCTACTGGATATTCAGACACGTCTTCTCAGTCTGAACAGCAAAATTTGAGTCCTTCCAAAGCTGCTCAGAATTTTGCTCTGACAACAACTGCCTTATATTTTTTATCTCACCCCGGCCCGAGCCAGTAAAAAGATACTTTGCACTTACAGAAGCCCTCTTTAGAGGGCAGCAAAATGTTTGATGCAGACACCAAAACAAAACTTGCCTCTCCTGGGGCTAAGAGGGATCTTCCTCTCCATTTTACAGAGGCCAAAGCACTTCTCAAGTAATCTGTTGAGAAGAGCCATGGGAGAACACAACAATCTGAATTCCCTATTACCTGGCAGCTACAGGAAAGAGGCACAGGATTTTATTAGGGCAGCAACATGCCAGTTGACATCTTACCTTGCGGTGATGGCATAAATGGCTTGGCACCGCCAAAGGAGAGCTTTCTAGAGCTGGGCACAGATCCATGCTCTCCAGGATAAGGAGGGGAAGCACCAGTTTTAGGAAAACCAAGAGGACTTGTACTGCTGGACCTCCGGACCGTACCAGACCTTATAGGAAACAACAGCAGAACACAGGTTACTCCAGATGCCAGTGAGAAGAGTAAGAACAGTACCACAGACACACACACACAGAGCTACTTCCACAGAAGGCAGAGCTTCATGACTGTTTATCCTGGATGAAAACCCCACTGCTTTAGGACTACACCAATACAGATTAAGATGATAATCCTTGTTCTCAAGAGTTCCAATCCAGACAAAATTTTGCAAGACAAATGAAAAGAATGAGATTAGTTTAGCTGTAAGCAGGAAAGCCTGCCATTTTTCAGTCACTTTTAGATGCTTTCAGGTTTCTACATCAATCCTGAACGTGACACAGTTTCCTATCCTGCCACATACAGATGTTTATATTAGGCAGTCTCTTCAGAATACCCTGAGAGGGCTTTATTCAGGTCTCCCTCCTGTGCTGAGCCACTTGCCCCTTTGTCAGAGCAGCCTGTCAGGTAGAAAGCTCTGTGAGAGCAGGCTGTAGGGTGCAGAGGTAAGCTGTGCCAAAGGCACTGCTCTGCAACACAGCTTTGACTCAAATCAGAAGTTACAGAGCAAAACAGAGCAACGTGTGGCTGTCAGATCTGAAACGGTTCAGTACTACCCAGAGGAATTTCTTTTGGGGCTGGACAGTCAGAACTGCCTGGGCTCCAAACTCCTTTAACTCCTTGTGAAGCCTCCCCTTAGGGAGTTACAACTAACTTGTACAGCCCACACGTTCAGGTACCTCAAGAGTTACCCTGCTGCTAAAATGAAACAAAAGAGGAAACCAGACTAGCAGGAAAGGGAGTACATCCACACCATCACCCTGCAGAGAGACTGGATTATTGTACATCAATTATTTCTCAGTAATCTAATGTTTTCACCACTTACTAAGAACACACAACCTCAACTCTATTTACTGAAATGCCATTCTGCCTCTCCAGGCTCCTTCCTTCAAGATTCCCATTACTCTCCTCTATACGAAAAAAGAGTCTTTCATCAAATCCTTCATTTTACTCTCAATTTGGAAACATTTTTTCTCCTGTTAAAAGAACATTAGTTTCAGCCAGTAGGTGGTTTTCTGGACAGGATTCAACAAATGTGATGAAACACCTCCCTCTGTGCTCAAGCCACTGAAAGATGCTCTCACCAAGGTATCCTGCCTCCCCTCCCAGTGACACTGCATTAAGCTGTCCATACCTATCTGATCAGGAGGAACAAAGACATACTGGTTTTGGCAGTGCAAGCAGGGCTAGCTACATTACCCAAGAGTGGCCAGGTGGTGAAGTGTCAGTACATCTAACCCAACAACACTACAAGGTGTATGTTTTACTTTATGCCACGTTTCAGAAAATAAATAAATAAATAATCATAAATCTATTTCAGTAGCTGAGATTTGACCCTGCCCCTTCAATATGTTACTATATTTTGCAGCCAAGTGAATCCTTGCTATATTCATCTGCTTGGAAAGAAAGGAAATCCTTTAAAATTTTAACCTAAAAAAATCACTTCTCTTCAGGTTGCTCCAACATTCAGAGGCCTAATCTCTGAAGTGCCTGGCCCTGAAGCAAAACAAATACACAGTAAGGAAATGGGCAGCTAGCAAGGTGAAAAGATACCTAGATATTCAGTGGCATAAAGTATTGCTACCCCATTAACTCTCTAGAATATGAGCCCTCCAGAAGGCTGAATATAATCTATCAGGATCTTGCAGGAAAAAAAACCAGCTGAGTGCTGCTGCTGAAGGATGTGGAATGTCAAATGCCACCTTATGATGGGATAAGCAAACGAGCAGGACAGGTGATGTGGCCAAAAGTAACTACACATAATTACCACCTCAACAAGCAACTTATCTATCCACCACCAGGCTACGATACACGGGCATACACCAGCCAGTCAGACGACAGTGGTTGAGTGTTCAGAAACAAGAGCGCACATCAAGTGACTTGGCAAACATGATGAAGCACTTGGCTGTAATGGCCTGTCTGATACACCTGATGGAAAAATGGAATCACATACTAAATGCTTGATGAAGTTTTCTCCTTCCATTCCTGAAGGGTGTCTACTGAATTTGCTGATTAGAGGAAGTGATGGTGAGAGAGAAATATGGCTTCCTAGGGCAGAAAAAAACATGACTCCAGAGATGCTGAGAAGATGCTAAAAGCAGGCTGTGAATCATCCTGATTGTGACCATTCCTCAAGTTCCTCTGCAGGGATGATGTTAATCTCAACATTACACAGTGGTGACTAAAAGTTGCAAAACATGACAGTTTGATCCCTGACCGGTAGCTGCAGGCTGTGAACCTGAACTCAGCAGCCCATCTGAGGTCTGAGGTAGGCACAATGTGCCTTGGTGCATCCTCTGCACGTCCTCCAGAGCTCTGACTTTATACATCACATGGATAATCAGGACTCTTTTGTGAGTTCCAACACTAACAGGGTCTATAGGTTTTGCTGTAAAAAACACAAGGTGCATAGGAAACGGGAAGGAGCTCACCACAAAACCTGCCACACACTCAACGAAGGGAGCATAAAATAGTATTAAAGTAATACTGGCACAAAACAATCTCTGCTAATCCCTGATTAATATCTACTACTAGGTCTATTTCTGTATCTAGTGTATCTACTTCTGGGTCTACTTCGAATAAGCCTTATCCTGAATTAGACTGGCTGAAGCCCAAACTTCTTCTGGCATAGGCATTACCCTACTTCAGAAATCTAAACTTTAACTAATCCAGATACCAAAGCAACTCATCCAAAAAAAGACACGACACCTCACAGACACTTCTGTCTGAATACTCCTGCTGTACAAACTCTTTAAGATCCTGTATGAGTCTCCTCCCAACCAGCTGTCAACTTACATTTCAGACCTGTAAGAACCAGAAATAACATGTAAGAAGACAGAAGCCCTGTGTGTCTTGGATGTACAAGGCATTACCACTGAACTCAGGACAGCTCTATGGCTGAAGGCTGGCATCCAAGTCTTCCTGATGGCCTTTGGAAAACATGCTCTGCCTCACAGACATACATTGCTCATGGTTTAATCAGCCCTGGCTGCATAACCATATTAATATGCAACTTGTGTAAGACACCTCATCTGTGGTGTGACTAGCTACAGGAACTAATTAAGGTGAAGTCAGGTAAGTTTTGTAGCCCCATCCATTTTAGTTGTTTATCTCAACTTTTTCCTTCTATAAAGACATTTGCCAGATGGGTGGTGTTCTCTGCTTGGACACCCAAGCCACAGCTGGCATGGGAGAAGCTGTCAGTCTCAGAGGGGCTCAGCCTGCACTGAAAGGTGACAGTAGCTGTCTCTCACACACATACAAAATTTACAGCAGATGGTAACAAATGAATCTCAACACCACTATCAAAAAACCCCAAAACTAGGTTACCACGTAACACACACCACACTGGCTCCCTACAGCAAGTGGCTCCTCCTATGCCCACTTAGAGGTACAAGAGAACACCCTGTAAAGCAGTTTGGTTTACAACCCTCAAGCTGTAATAGCAGAGCCCTTGCCCTGATGCTACCCCCTCCTCTCAGCCCAGCACTTACCGTGGAGAGGCGTATTGATTGGGAGACTGCAGGTTCTGCTCGATCCGCCGGTAGTTGTGAATCTGTGTTGGGACTGGAATGGGCACGGAGTGTCCGTACTTGCTGCTGGAAAACTGCCCTGGCCGGCTGTTGAAAGCAGACAGACAAAGAAAGCCTCTGTAAGGGGTGGGCCTTTAACCAGGTAATTGGAGGTTTTATCTTCGTAGAGCAACTGTACACAGAGAGCGTCCCCTTGGCTGCGCTCGGGTTGTGGGTTTATACTGGGAGGTGGTTCAAAGTCATATCAAAAGGAAGCGGCTCCCGAAAACACGCACCTTTCTTCCAGCACAATTCCCACCCACAGAGCGAAGTTAAAACATACACCCCAGTGCACCACTCCCTCCAGGAAAACTGGAGCCCTGTTATTTCACGCCACAACTGGCCTAGTTTCCAACTGCTCAGATCCACAGCCAAGGAGCACATCATTGAACAGGGGCTAAACATTCATGGCTCACAAAGGACACCAGCAAAGATTTTGCTGCCAAGAGCTACTTCCGATTCATGCAGAGGCACCGCTGGAGCAATGGCATCTCCATGAAAGTCTCAGTGTGCCACAAAGAGAATACTGAGTATTTGCAAGTTAACTACAGGGTAGAGAAGGCAACTTGGGAGAGAATAAATACGGGGGGCACGAGTTGATATCTATGTATCCATCAATGTCAGCTAGAATATCACACACACAAAATGGGATAGGCCCATTATGCAAACTTCTGACTTCTTTCTAGTTCATCCAAGCAAGTTAATCATCTCACATCTGATATCTATTCCCCCAGGTGACAGCTTCCCTTGCTACTCTTTGCCCGTACTATGCTATACACAAACCCATGGTGTACAAAATCCATGCGAATACCACACTCAACTAAATAGCAGCCTATAGGCTTTTCCTAAAGGCTCCAGAATTCTAGGATTAATTGCCATGGCGATGCTATTTACAACTGCCAACACCAATTGCAGGGATGTTGCACAGTTACAGAAGGATCTTATTGGTAATGAAGGCTTCTTCCTTGTCGTCAGTCAAAGACACGAATCTCAGGTTTGCCCCTGAGAAGCAGGAAGCATCACTTCTTTCGGTCTATCACTTGGAGTAGAAGTGTTTTACATAAGATGAAAGGAGACAGTTAATTCAGCAAGAACATACATGCGTGCGCAGGGGAAGAGAGAAGAGTTTGTGACTTATCCTGCAGTTCAGAGCATCCCATTATCAGAATTTCTTATTTTGGGAAGGGTCAGTAGCACTCTGGTTTACAGTGACAGTGTTGAACAAAGCTGACCTGCAGGAAAGTGTCTGCAGCTCTCCACATTATGCACATGAAAACACTCCTCCATCACAAGAGGGCCAAATAACTGGAAGAGGTCTTTCGTCAAGACTGACACATCAAAAGGTGATTGATTTCTTCATTCCTCTCTCAACAGGTTTACTGAGTTTTTAAGGTCTATGTATTCTTCTTCGTCTGCTCTTATTTCTTCCACCAAGAGAACAGACTCTTAATCTGACGTTTGCCCCTAAAAGGCACAATGGAAGCCTTGATTCTTCATTGACATACAATAAGCCAAAGGCATTCAAGGTTTCTGACTGTTTAGCAGAAAGGTGAGGCTTTGGTGTCTCTGTCTTCCATCAGTGTAAGACATGGTGTAAAAACAGACATAAAGTGACAGAGCTTTAATCAAGAAACCAGAGGGTTCGCGTCAAGCTTTGTACATATCTTGATTTTCAACATACATTTCATCTGCTGTCTTTTCCATCTGGTTAAAATCCTTTGGAGAAAAAGTAGTTTTCAGGTGAAGAGATCCTTCCCAAAAGTTCTATCAAGTGCTCACAGAAGGCAGGTTTCTCCACAAGGTGCAAGTTGCAAAAGGAAGTACCCAAATAAGGTGACATGTACTAAACCTGCTAATTGGCCTCAAGCCTTAAAGACTACAAGTGACCATAAATTTGCAAAGATCAAGAGATAAAGCTGGGACATGGAGTTTAATTACTTGGCAGTAATTAAAAGCTCTTTGAAAATGGTAGCAAATCCATTGCTGTGGGATACATCCAAGGAAGTTCTCTTCATTAGACTTCCTAAACATCTTCAACAAGGAAGTGTTAGAAAAATGAATAAATTCAAAACACCCCAACTATCAGCATATTTTAATTCTGCCTATTCCTCACCCTCTTAGTTAAGAACAAGGAGAGCTTCTCTAGAGCACACTGTAACATCCTGAAGAAAACTCACTGCTGGCCACTCTAAAACAGCCTTTGCTTTCTGTCCTAGTTGGAATGCATCCAGCATTGCTTGCTAGCCTAGAGCCACACGTGAAAGGGAGAACTGCTGCTTCCGAGTGTGCGAAGACAGAGAGAAAATCAGGAATCCTCTGCACCAGCGAAGCCAAGCGCTGAATCAATGGGCCTCACGACATCTGCAGTGAAGGGCACTGAAACCCAAGTTAGGAGTAAGTGCGTACCTGGGTGGCACCACTTCAAAGCACTTTCAGAGGACAGATTAAAGACCATGCTTTACACTCTAGATTTGGAGTGACTGCTCCAGTCTTTCATTACTTATGTCTTATTTGCATCCTGGACAGGATAAGAAGTAACTTTTCAGTGTTTCTTCAAAGCAGACACAAGTGGGAAGTAGCACTAGAGGGTTTGGCATCTGCTCTACAGAAGCTGCTGGGAACGAGTAGGAAAGCCAGTGAGAGCAGAAACACATTTAAAACAGCTGCTGGCATTGACTTGCACCTTGTGATCCAGCAGAATACGACGAGGCCAGTTTGGTGCAGAGAGAGATGAACAGTGTAAAGTAGGCAGCATTTTTAATCAACTTCCTTGAATTTCCACTCACTGCTGTCCAGAAACAAGGCCAAATTCTTTAGTTAAGACTGATCCTCAGAAAGCAAAGGAATCAGTTAAGGAATAAGCTGTTAAAAAGCTTAGCAGGCGATGGCATAAGAAGCCTCATGCAATTAAACTCCACACTGTGGTACATGCTTGCCAATTAATCTGATCACGTCAGCAAGGCTTTGAGCTATATTCTTCTCCATTACATTTGTATGCTTTGAGGCTATATTTTGTCATTTTCTGGGCTCCATTTATGTGACGAGTGTGTCAGCATACAGCCTGGGACTATATTTTTTTCTTAAGAAAGATTTTAGGGTTATCCACCTCCCAGTGTGAAATCTCCTTCAACTGTCCTCCCTCAATAGGTGCCATACTGACAGAATAGAAGATGAAAGCTGTCCTGCTTCCTCAGTAGGCAAGAATGAGATGGAAAGTAACACCATCAGTTCCCTGCAAGCTAAGCACATAGCCTAAAGCTGCAAGCTCTAGAGCCAATGGGATCCCCTTCCACAGACCATTAGCACCTTCTGAACACAGATATGTCTGGACCCGGTGGTGGTGCTGGGCAGCTGTGGTGTGTGTGGGAAGCTGTCACCTTCATTTTTAAAGGGCAAAGCTGGGTTTATAGCAACTGGTTTAGTTGGAACTAAAACTATAACCATGCCTGTTTGCGCTTGTTACTCCTACCACTGCATCCTCCATTAGCAAACAAGGCTCATGTAGCAGCATTACTTTATACACAGTGCAAGGAGCTTTTCAGATCTTCAAGCAAGCTACGAACAACTAAGTAGGCTCAGATCTGTCCTTCACAGCAAGGGCAGATGAGCAACACTTCTCCACATTTGCCCAGTAATTCAAGCCCATCATAATTTCAGCCTTGGCTAAAGCATTGTGCTCTAATTCACTGCATGAATTTAGAAACAGGGGTCTTTAGCTGGAATACTCACCACCTCTGCAGGCTGAGCACAGAGGGGATCAGTAGCACATACGTGACAGTGAAGTACATTTACTTTCTGCTTGAGAATAATCCCTGGCCGCCCAGGGAACAAAGTTAATTCCAGCTCTACTGCATTCTCTCAGTGCCCCTCCTGAAGACCAGAAGAGGGAGAGACAGGCTCTGTAGTTGGGACTGATCAGTGCTCAAGGCTGCGGAGTTCCTCCCGGGTGTTTTTTGTTACCCTTTAATTAAAGGAGAGTGTGGATCTTGCCCAGCACACCAACATCTGTAAAATCCCCTCCTGGAAGTCAATGCATGTTCAATCAATCAATGTAGCACAGTCGCCACCAAAGTCTTTCTTACCTGGATGGGCTCGGAGAACTGCTGTATGGGGGTGAAGGAGATGGTGTCCTTCCCTGGCTTTCCAAGCCTGCTGAAGTCACCAGAGAACTCCTGAAGAACGACAGAAAGAACCGAGCTGTTAGAGCCTGGGAACCAACCTTTCACCCTTCCCTTTCTAAGAGCCCTGGGGTCTTGTCATGCTGCTCTCTGTTTTGGTGCCACGTGCTGATGATCAAACTGAAAATGGTCACAACCAGACAGGTGACAGTTATCTCTGAAACAAAAGTTAACTCAGCCACATCTTCCCTCCCATCCACCAGAACCCAAAAGCCCCTAATGCACAGTACGCTCCGGTGGCTAAATGATTTCAACTGCCTTAGTGGTCTTACCCGCTATACATCAGGCTGTCTTGGATTGGTTTCCCTCCTGCAGCCTCAGCAGTTAAATCACCTGAGGAACAAGGAAGTGCACAAACAGATTAATTTGAGATAATTTTCTTTATATATTCAGAGCAATCTTTATATATTCAGAGCAACTGAGATTTGGGTGGAATTTCCTGCTCCTCCAAGACCTGCTGAGTTACTTCTGAATCAGTGTTTTGCAAAATATATGTGGGCTGAAGCTGCTGATCCTCATATCCTGAAGTTTTGGAAAATTTAGGCTAAAAGAATGGGGACAAAACCCAACAGAATCATTTGGGCCAACAGGTATATGCCCACCTGGTGCAAGCAATTAGCTGCTGTGTAAAAAGACAGTGGTATCTGTTCACACAGGGCTTTGAAATACCCATTTCTTAAGTGGCAAAAACCCAGGGCAGCCAAATGAGCTGGCAGCTGGATACACAAAATGGGAGAGTTTGTGCCTTTGCCAAAGCATCTGAACACTGGAAATATGACCAGCACAAGACAAGTATATACTGGTCCCATCACTGTTCCCAGGTAAAATACAAGCAACACTAAGCTCCTCCTTACCATAGGATTGCACAGCAGGGATATTTCACAGTTCTACCTCTCCAAATTCCTGTTTTAATATAAGTACTGCAACTGAGAAAGGAGGAATCACAGCATTTACCACCAAGTTCCAACTCAGCAAAGCATTATACACATGGTCAGGGTTGAACAATATCCTTCTGCTGGTTAAATAAGGACTTGTGCATGGACATACTTAGACATGTGGCTGAACTGGGGCCCTGGCCCCTATGTACACATGTATTTTCAAACAATTCCTATGAAAGTATAAACACATAAAGGTGTTAAATTAATGTCTGAAGAAAAATCCAACATATTTTAGTTGTCCTTCAGGAATTCTTTCCAGTGTAGAATCCATCTTACTAACTGAAATCCTGTTGTGGACTGTGATGCTAAGTGAAGACAGGATGACATGGGAATGGCTTCTGTGCGAAAAAGACATTTCCCTGTGAGCCTACTTATCTTCTTTTCCAGTTGGATTTCTAGGTTCAATCCCTTCTTGAGGTCCCTGAGTAATCTTTATTCTCAAATCCTATCTTTGAAGGTAATTACAAAATACCCCACGAAACCAGCCTGTGAGACAGATGTCTCTTCCAGCTTGACAACAAAACCATCTCCGTTAGTCAAAACAGACAGGTTCAATCTCTCTTCCAACTTTCTAGTGACTCTCTCTAACATCCACATCCCCCTCTGCTTAGAACGTCTGCATTTCCAGAAACCTACTTGAGAACTGTGCTGGGACCATAACGAAGTCGTCTGTGTCACAAGATGAATTCTTACTGCTGCTTCCAGCAGAGTCCTTAGATCCATGCAGAAAGCCGGGGGAATCCTGGGTAGGAGATGCCAGCGCCTTCTCCTGCAGCTGCTGCTGCATCTCTCCAAGGGACTGCTAATTCAAGAAGAAAACAAACACTGGCTTCAGCACAGCTACTTGATCATTCTGCTCAATCCTTTAAACTCAACTGTACGAGGCTACGCACAACATTTTGCTGATAAACCAGGGCTAATTATTTGCCAGAAGCAGCTGTTCAGCCTTCTGAAAAGGAACACCCTTTCATGTCCAGGTCAGAATAGAGCATCTTCAGTTACACAGAACATACTACCAGCATGTCTGATGCTCCACAGCTAAGAAAAACATCACCTGAGGTGTTGCATCCCTCTGCTAAGGCTTTCTGGATCAACCATGTGTTTTATACCAACTCTATTTAGTATGGCTGTGAAACTGAGAAGAGCTTTCAGAGACAGTTTTGGTTGTTCTTTTCAGTTATGGGGTTTTGTTTTGTTCTTAAACATCTGCTCTCCCCTCACACTTTTGCAGCAAGCAGCACTTGGGAACATAAGTGTCCCTGTACTTTCAGAACAACCCTGCTTTGCTCTAGCGCTGATAAGGAGTTGAAGGCCTGAAGGAGGCTAAGCATTCAAAAGATGAGCGCTTCACAGGCATCAGAGGCAGGACAGACCTCAAGTCCCATTTTTCTGCTTCCTTAAGCCAAACAATCCTCATGTTCTGCAGACAGATGGAGGAGGCTGGATGGTTTAAGACAGCTTTAAGACAGCTGAACTACCCACAGAGCAGATGACAGTATTTATCCAAATGCATTTTCAGGCTGAGAAAAACTTGCAAGCAGCTTTCACTTGGGCCCTGTTAAGACCCTGTTCACCTTCCAAAGACTCTCCTGCTGTACTAGTGGGACTCTCACTGTACAGGCAGTACAGACAAGCAGGAGTTCTCTCTTTT